ACAGCACACACCTCCACACGCACAGCACACACCTCCACACGCACAGCACACACCTCCACACGCACAGCACACACCTCCACACGCACAGCACACACCTCCACACGCACAGCACACACCTCCACACGCACAGCACACACCTCCACACGCACAGCACACACCTCCACACGCACAGCACACACCTCCACACGCACAGCACACACCTCCACACGCACAGCACACACCTCCACACGCACAGCACACACCTCCACACGCACAGCACACACCTCCACACGCACAGCACACACCTCCACACGCACAGCACACACCTCCACACGCACAGCACACACCTCCACACGCACAGCACACACCTCCACACGCACAGCACACACCTCCACACGCACAGCACACACCTCCACACGCACAGCACACACCTCCACACGCACAGCACACACCTCCACACGCACAGCACACACCTCCACACGCACAGCACACACCTCCACACGCACAGCACACACCTCCACACGCACAGCACACACCTCCACACGCACAGCACACACCTCCACACGCACAGCACACACCTCCACACGCACAGCACACACCTCCACACGCACAGCACACACCTCCACACGCACAGCACACACCTCCACACGCACAGCACACACAGCACACACCTCCACACGCACAGCACACATAGCACACACCGCACGCACAGCACACACCACACACACATCCACACCCTCCACACACACAGCACACATAGCACACACTCTCCACACGCACAGCACACACCCTCCACACACACACAACACGCACAGCACACACCCTCCACACGCACAGCACACACCCTCCACACGCACAGCACACGCAGGCAGTGGGTGAGCCTCCAAGAGGCCTCCAATGGGCGGTTCTCTTGCCATCACTTCCCAACTCCTTTTCAAGGTGCAATTTCTTGGCCGCGGATGGTAAGAAAGCCCACCTCTCTCCTGGCTGAGCACCTTCCACCCTCCGTGCCTGCAGAGCACACGGGGGGTTCACCAGGCGGCAGCGTGTGCCTCAGAGACAGGGGCTGTGCGTGCAGCCGGGCTCCCTCCTGCCGTCCGCAGACCAGGGGGCAGAGTCTCCATGGATTCCAACTCTCTCCCTGCTGCTCCTGCCTCCGTCGCCAAAGGAATCTCAATCATTCTATCTCCCAACTGTGGTTGTCAGGAGAGGCCCTAAGGGAGAACTGCTGTGCTCCGACCGCTCTGGGAGCTCGAGGGCGTCGCAGGAACCGGGGTCAGAGCTCCCCCAGGTGACATGCAATCTGCGAGCGTGAAGGGGCAGCTGGAGCTAGTGGGGCTCAGAGCATCCCCACAGTTTCCTGGTGGTGGCAGCGCGGCCAGACTCGCCCTCACCCCTCAGGGCAGAGACCCTGGTAAAGCCCACACGCCCCTCGCCCAGGCTCCCCGTCATCACACACGCCCCGAGGTACTGGTCCTCTCATCAGCATGTGCTCACCACAGCCATCGACCGACCCGAACCCCAGGGAGCGGAGGCGAAGCCACCCTCATGTGGGAGATGCCCGAAGACCCCCCCGGGCAGCCGCGGCTCACCCACCGCCTGGGGGTCCAGCTGCTGCCCCACAGGGGGGCCGGGGGCTGAGCAGGTCCCGGGGCCTGGGTGTGGGGTTAGGGAACGGGCACCCAGACCGTGAGGTAGGCACCCCATGCCCATGTCACATCAGCGAGAGGCCAGCAGTGAGCATTACTCTGCCGTGTGCATTCCAGCACGGTCTGCGAGTCCGTGGCAACAGTTAAAGAAGAGCCTGGGAAGAGCCAGAAAGCTTGGCAAACGGATCAGGCCAAGGGCACAGCCCACGGGCGGAGGGAGGGCGGGGGAAGGACCAGAGTGCGAGGCACAGAGAGGACGCTGGCGCCCCCTGCTGCCCAAGAGGCGCCATGGGTACAGCCAGCCACCACATGTGCACCCACACCACACACACGACACATAACAGACACACGACATGCACAACACATGACAGACACACGACACATAACAGACACATGACATGCACAACACATGACAGACACATGACACACCCCGCAGACAGGGACGCACACAGCATACATGACACGCTCACACGACACGTAGGTAAGATAGGCCCACACAAAACACATGCAACAGATACACATGACACGCATGACCCATGTGACAGGCAAATACAACAGATGCTCACACATAACAGACACACGACATGCACAACACATGACAGACACATGACACACCCCGCAGACAGGTACGCACACAGCATACATGACACGCACACACGACACGTAGGTAAGATAGGCACACACAAAACACATGCAACAGATACACATGACACACATGACCCATGTGACAGGCAAATACAACAGATGCTCACACATAACAGACACACGGCACACAACAGACAGAGCAACGGTGTGAACCGTTTCTAATTCAGAAAAAGAGGAAATGCTAATGACACCGAGACTCTAGGTCAGTAGTTCTCAACCTGTGGGTCGCGACCCCTCTGGGGATCGAACAACCCTTTCACAGGGGTCGCCTAAGACCATCGGAAAACACATATATAATTACATATTGTTTTTGTGATGAATCACTGTGCTTTCATTATGTTCAATTTGTAACAGTGAAATTGGGGGTCACCACAACATGAGGAACTGCATTAAAGGGTCGCGGCGTTAGGGAGGTTGAGAACCACTGCTCTAGGTGGTCTGCTCAAGTTCCATTGGCTGGAAGGCAGTGAGGATCGGGCACAGAGATGTAGCTCTGCTTTGCCACTTAGAAGCTGTGTGACACCAGGCAAGTAGCTTAGCCTCTCTGAGCCTCCGCTACCTCATCTGTAAACTGGACAGACTAATTCCTATGTCAAAGGGTCATTGAAATGATTATACAAAATCATAAAGGAAAAAAGGAAATGAAGGTAGTAAAGCCATAGTTTTTAAACAGAGTCCATTAAAGACTCTCTGAAACACTAGAGGCCCGATGCACGAAATCTGTGCAAGGGGTTCGGCCCTCGCAGCCCAGCTGCCTCAGCCCTCACAGCCCCGGCTTCGTCCGGACGGTGGCTCTGCTGTTCGGTCTAATTAGCATATTAGCTCTTTATTACATAGGATGCTTTTTTCCCAAAGCACCGTGGGAGACCCGTGAGGACCTGAACCTGGGAGTCCGAGTGCCCATGCAGATCTCACAGATCTGAAGTGGACGTGGGAGGGGCAGGTGTCAGGACCCACAGTGTGACTTCCCCGAGTGACAGCATGTTCCCGGGCTCAGAGGCCTGGCCCCCGGGGGACGTCGGCCACGATGAGGGTGTGCTCCTGTCTGCAGGGAGCGCGGCCCATCGCCCGGGGGCCGCTCCCTGTCGCCGCCCTGTGGTGTAGCCTCGCCCTCGCTCCTGCCCGCCTGTTGCTTCCACACTGGGGCACTCCTCCTGTAAAGTATCAGGAAGAAAACTAGAGGGTTTTTTAAAACCTTCTTCCATGTAGACGCTCCGGAAGAGTGTACTGAACGTGCAAAGCCACCAGCACCCTGACGCCGAGACCCGACTTCTCACACTCGTCAGAGCGATGGTGAAGTGCAGACGACGGCAGTGATGCCCTGTCAGCGAGCCAGGACAGGGGTGAGCCCTGCACGCGGTGAGGCTGGACGGACGGGGGATTCGAGGTCACGCACCGCCGACAGCGCTGCCGTTCCCAGGCGGTGTGAGGGGAGCAGAGCGCGGACAGCGGGAGCTGCTCAGGCCATGCAGGCCGACCGACGGCTGTCTCTGTCCACCTCCCTCCCACGGGACCAGAGAAGGGCCGGAGGGAGGTGGACGGTGCATGTCGCATGGAGGACGGAGTCCATGGCTGTCAGGGCCACAGACCCGCAAACTATCCGCACAGGCGGGGGAGGGCACTTCGGTGATAAACTAGTTACAGCTACTCCCACACAAGCACAGAGGACGTTCCATCCCAAACAGGCCGGGGAAGGTGGGGGTGGCGCCCCAGCCGCCAGGGACCACAGCACAGGAAGTGACTTTCCTCCAAGGCGACAAAGGAGGAAGAGGGGCCTCCCCGGAGACGCTCCTCCGACCCGGACAGCGGAGGAGGGAAGGGCCTGAGCGTGGGTCCCGGACGCTGCGCCCCATCCGCCGATGACGCAGAGAAAAGCTAAGGAAAGGGCAGAGAATCAGGGCAGAAAGGCCAGAATCAGAACCATCCTCCTGCCCTGAGAGACGTGTTTTTAGACCAGGGGTGGGGACAGAGGAGGCGCACGCAGGGATCTATGGCGGCAGGGCAGCCCTCGGGTTCCAGAGCGGCACCTGGAGCCCACAGACACAGGGAGACGCCCCACTGTCACATTCCAGAGCCCACGGGAAGGTGGGTGAGCGTGTGACACTGTCTAAGGTGACAGATGCTAACGAGCGTCCTGCTCCCTGAACAAAGAAAGAAAACATTTTAGAAACTTCTTGCAAAACCCAGAAGGCTCTACGCAGGCCCACGTACAAAAAAGGAAAAGCAGGCGATTTCCCCAAAGGCAGAAGCTGAGCGCTGGTTGTTGGCGATGACCGAGAGGGGAGGCTGAAGGGAGGCGTGTCACAGCCGCCTGGGCTGGCACCGTGTGCACGGTCCCCGGACACGAACACCCAGCGCGTGTGCGAGGAGAAGCTAGCAGCGCACTGAGAGGCATGTCCGAGCCGCTATCACCCACACACAGGCAGCAGGGAAGACGCTGCCCTGCGCCTTCCTGGGCGGTGCCGCTAATTGCCATCCTGTATCCCAGGACCTCCAGCCCCCCCTGCCCGCCCCGAGGGATCAGATCCAGGAACAGCTGCTTCCAGGCCCGAGTCTTGACTTGGGGCTGCATCACCCCTGCACCATCGGCCCATAGGAGCACAGCCTCTCTGTGGACACAGCGCCCTCCCTGACCACAGATCCTATAAACTGTGCACCAGTCCACAAGTGACACAGAGCCACCCACCGAGGGCGCCTCGGCGGCGGTGCCTGAGGCTGGGTACTCACTCTTGCTGTAGCAGGTGGCCAGCACGCCCTTGTCCGCGGGGCTGGCACTGATGTGCCAGATCTCACCCACTTGGTGGAGGAGGACATTTTTGTTTATGATGTTGTTTTCGTCGTCAAAGTCTATGATGTGGATCTACAGGCACAAAGAGAGCAAGCAGGTCAGGACCTCACGGGTAAAGCAGCGACAGAAGCGAAGGCATCTGGAGCATCGTCAGGGCTGCTCCTGTTCCGCTAACAGGGCACGGTCTGAACAACCAGCTGACTACGCTCCTCTCAGAGACAGGCGTGACGTCCCCGTGTTGTTAAGGTGGCAACCACATCACACAGCCCACCATTCCTGGCCCTAACGAGACGAGACACCCCTCCCCCACAAGCTCTGTGCCAGGTGGCTCACTGAGGCCGCAGCTCATGCCAGGGTGTCATCCAGGGCAGTGCCAATCGGCCCAGAGCCTCTGGAACCTGCTGGACGGCTGCGGGGAAAGGAGGGGGGCCTGGACGGACCAGCTCTGCCCACTCCTCGGTGCACGTGGCACATCACCCCTCCCCCACAGTTGAGGACTGGGATGGGACTGTACACCAATACATCTTGGACTTCTTTTTAAAAACCAGTCCAACAGCTGTCAACCCTCTGGTCCTATAACATCTACATATATAAAAGGCTAATATGCTAAGTGTCTGACCATCTGACATGTCGCTATGGCGCACACTGACCACCAGGGGACAGACACTCAATGCAGGAGCTGCTGAGCTGCAGTAACTTGGCAGCAGCGGTCTGGCCTATCTCCCCCAGTCCCACCCCACCGGCTACATTCTAATTAATTTCCTTTCAATGTGCACGAATCCGTGCACTGGGTGACTAGTTAATTATAATAATCACTAGAGGCCCAGTGCACGGGCTCGTGCACCAGTGGGGTCCCTCGGCCTGGCCTGTGGCGATCGGGCAGAAACCAGCAGTCCGACAACCCCTGAGGGGTCCCAGATTGCGAGAGGGCGCAGGCCAGGCTGAGGGACCCCACCGGTGCATGAATCCATGCAGCAGGCTGGTTCCAGCTTGATCCCCGCAGGCCAGGCCGAGGGACCTCACCAGTGCATGGCACCAGGCCTCTAGTCTATAATAATAAAAGCATAATATGCTAATTAGACCAGATGTCCTTCTGAACGACCTTCTAGATGAAGCTGGTGCTGGCAGCCAGGGGAAGGAAGGCCTACTCTTGCACGAATTTCATGCACAGGCCTCTAGTATGCATATAAGACCTTTGGTTAATCTCTTCCGCCTCCCACCTCCCCCTTCCCTCTGAGATCCATCAGTCTGTTCCATGTTTCCCTGCCTGTGCATTGAGTGTCTGCCCCCTGGTGGTCAGTGAGCATCACAGTTACAGGTTGCGTAGGTTTTTATGTATATTAGTGTAGATACTGCACTTTACCTACTAAAGGCAAAGTTAAACATACTGTCTCCATGCTTTTCTGGATAAATTTCGAGGAATTAAAATGATTTCCACTTTCACTCTCTTATCAATACTCCAAGCCAATGAGAAAGATAAAACATTAACTTCAAAAATAAGTTTATACTAAGAAAATAATCGTGGGCCTGCACAAAGATTTCAATCAGAGAATGTTCGCTGTGGCGCTGATTACAGTAATGAAAACTCAGAAGTCCCCTCAGTGTCCGGGGTAAGGCGGCTCGGCTAAGCTGTGGACCCGACTGGACGCAACGCACGCTCCACTCTGTGCGGTGAGAGACCGTGGTGCCGGACGGGCCATCGTCACTGAGGCATGAAGACAGACGGGGCGAGCTGCCTGCATGTTCTGTGGACAGCAGGCATGTCCCCGTGACAGAGGACCTGGAAGGGACTGGTTCTCTCCTGATGGCGAGAGCACAGACTGACTCTCTCCTTCTTTGTGGTTTGTGCTGCTAACATTTAGCTCAGCACAGACGTGCATCACAGGCACAGGCTCACAGGCGTTGCTCTGCCGTCAGAACAAGCATTAAGTGCTATTTTTAGCAACACACCCTTGACCCCGGAAGCCTCTGCACGCCACGCCTGCTACACGAGCCCGTGCTGCCCCGACACGTCCCCTCGCAGGGCCTGCATGGGACAGTAACCCCAGGCCCCGCAGGGGTGGCTCTGGACTCAGCAGAATTCAAACTCCCCACTGCCACTCATCGCCGTGTGACCCTGAAACTGCTTCCCCGAGGGCACCCTGAAGACGAGCTGTGTGGTCCTGGGCCCCCGGCCCGCACTAGAACCACAGAGAACTGTCCTGTTGGAAAGGATACGCAGTCACAGAAACAAGCAATGTGACCAGAAGGCACCGGAATAAAGGCGAGTGGGGAAGACTGGGGCACAAAGGAAAGATCCATTCATGTCGGCCCAGAGGCAGGGAGCACCTGTGCCGGCTGGGCAGTGCTCAGCCGCGTCTGAGTTCTTTAACAACAGCTTATAACGCAGACCACACTCACAGGCTCTGAGTCAGCACTGTCAGGGTTGTCAAAGTCGGTTCACCAGGCAGGGCGATGGACATCTAGGAGTGAGAGCTCTAGGATTCATGAGGAAGCAGGGCCCAGGCCACAGCTGGGCACGGAGTCCAGCCAGTCTTCCTGCTTCCTCTCTTATTGAACAAAGATAAAATCTTGGAAAAAAAGTGTTTAAAATTGAATATGAGAAGTCAAAAGCTTCCCTCTGAGGGACAGGCAAGGTCACCTCTGAGCAAGATGCTGCCTGGCACGGCCCTGCCCTGGCTGGAAGGCTGGCTCACCCCACAGCAGGTACCCCCCGGCCTCCCCCACCATCCCCCAGCCTTGGCCCCACCATTAATGCGCCCGCCTTGTCGTTCCCAACAAAACACACCCCCGCTGGCCGGCCTTTCCTGAGGAAGACACGACAGCGCAGGCTGCAGGTCGCCAGCACCAGCCTCCTCACTCGGTCCCAGGGCGGCGTCGGCCTCGGACCACAGGCCATGGGGCCAGGAGGCTGGGTCCCGCACTGATCCCGCCACGTCCTGGCTGAGTGACGCTGGGCGAGCCCTCACAATCTGGGCTCCTGCTGCAGCATTTGTAAATCTGGGGAACTGAGTCCTAAGATCCCTGTGACACAGAAACCGGACCCTCAGTTGAGCCTTTAATGATCGGTGACGGTTACATATGATCGACCCCTCATCCTGCCACAGTATGGCCACCACCCACCATCCGGATCACAGGCTCCGCTGGAGCAAAGGCCCGCATGCCCACATCCTGTCCCTGACCCAGGACGCGCTCCCCATTCCAGCCTCACCGTGCCAGCAAGGGCGGTTCTGGGAGCAGAAGGGGTGCAGTCCATCTGGGCCAACCCCAGACAGCGTCTCGGGCAGTGCGTCCTGGCCACTGAGCTGAGGGACGGAGAGGAATGTCAGGGCCCCTAAATCAGCGGGCCGTCCAGAGAAGTACAGCGAGAGCGCCAGGGGGTCTCAGCCGCGCTGCGGAGCCCTGGGTCCAGCCTCGCCCAGAACACCTCCTGGCGACGCTTCCATGACACAGGGCAATACATTCCTGTCATGTTAACGGAATGGGGGCGGGGAGAGGGGGCAGGGAGACATGGAGGTCAGTGAGCCTGGCCTGGGGCCCCAGACTCTGCTCCCCAACAAGGGTGGCCAAGGACAGAACCTGCCGGCAGAGGGGCACCGTGTGGCAAAGCCGTCCTTCATCAAAATGCAAGCACAGGACACTGGAGTCACAAATTAAAGAGGAAAAGATTTACAGGGCGAGAGCTGCAGAGGAGCCAGCTGTGCTGTCATCCCTCGAGGGCCGTCAGCCTTTCCACAGCCCGCGGGGCCTGTCGTCAGGGCCGTGTGGAGAGAGGCAGGTCACAGCCTCCTCGCGGCCAGCCTGGCCCTCCCCCACCTGCATAAGAAACGGGTTGGCAACAGGCAGTGAAACCCCTGGGAAAAGGACAGTGCAGAGGCTGGCCCCTCCCGCCTGAACCCGGTTCCCAGCCTCTGCCGCGCTCCCCCCACGGCCCACGTGCACACCCCCACGAAGGAGAGCCTGGGACACACTCAGAAGTGCGCGTCCGCCCATCGGGCAGTGCGTCCGCCAAACCAAGGGCACGGAGACAAAGGCTTCCCGCGACAGGAGAGGCAGCCACTGTGACAGCTCCGACGTTCTTCAGAAAACCAGCGGCAGAGCTGATAGCAGCCCTTTCTAGGGAACTGACGGCTGCGGGAGGCGCTGAGGCCCGAGGCACAGCCAGGGGCGTCCGCGCCGGCACAGCCACCCTCCCCGGAAGCCTGGAGAGCAGGAAAGGGGGCGCGGGTGGGAGGTGGGGGCGGCAGAGCAGCCGGGGGGCGCGTGGGAGGTGGGGGGGGCAGAGCAACCAGGAGCGGAGATCCATGGTCCCAGCTCCCGCAGCACGGCCAGACCTGAGCTGCCACCACCTGGCCGGGCCGGGCCTGGGCCAGCTGTCTGACCTTGGGACGCGTAGCTCCCGCACCGGCCGTCTGCGTGGGGGCTGCACAGACAAGCACAGCACGTGCTCAGGGCACAAGCTCTATGAACTGCACACTGAGGGGGGCAGGGTGTCTGAGTCATAGGTCTGCCCATTCCGCTGGGTCACCTTGGGAAAACCATGTGACTGCTCAGGGCCACCTTCCTCATCTGATTAGAAATGGGGTCAACACCACTGGTTCTGTCCACTGAGGTAGCAGGTGTGGGAATGGCCTGACCCGGCTCCAACCCTGAGCTTGACCCCAGGGTCAGAGGCTCCTGCAGCTGCTTTCAGCTCTCACCTGTGTCCTGGAAGCCTGTGTTTACCTTCAGGCCTCGGTCAAGAGGGCCCCTGGGGGCCAGCACCCGGCCTCGCCCCCCCTCACCAGCACCCGG